CCCCCTCTTCTTCCCCATGGCCACGCGTCTCCTAAGCTCTAAGGGACCCCAAGCAATGGGCAGGCTGGTCCCCCGACCCTGTTCCCAGGGCCCCCTTCCCTCCGACTTCCCAGAGAGCTGGGGCAGCCAGTCCAGGCTCTCCTGTCGCTTCTCCTACGCTGAGCCCTTGCTGTTTACGCCCTCAGCTTGAATAAACGTTCCCTCAGTCACCTGGACGCGTGCTGTGAAATTTTTCCTCACGAAGTCAAGAACCCGCACACTACCGGCTGCTGGGCAGACCCACCAAGGACCAGGCCCCCTTTCCGGTAACAATTACACAGCTTAAACCTTCCTTTCCAGCTGGAGGAATATCATTGTAAAGACAGAAAACCAAGAATGATTTGGTGCAATGAATATGCCACACTAGGGAGGGCACCTAGAAAACAAGGAGCACAGTGAGTAGGCAAATCTAACCCGGGGCTCATCTAGGCAGGAGGAAGAGGGGAAGGGGGGAAGGGGGAAGGAGGGAAAGAGGGAGGGAAGGAGGGAAGGAGGGGAGGAAGGAGGAAGGAGGGAAAGCAGGAAAGAGGGAAAGAGGAAGGAGAGAAGGAAGGAGGGAANTACACTGCTGGTGGGAATGCAGACTGGTGCAACCACTGTGGAAAACAGTAAGGAGTTTCCTCAAAAAATTAAAATTGGAACTGCATTTTGACCCTGCAATTCTATTTCTGGATTTACATCTGAAGAAACCCAAAACACTAATTCGAAAGGATATATGCACCCCTATGTTCATTACAGTGTTATTTACTGCCAAGATATGGAAACAACCCAAGTGCCCATCAGTAAACAAATGGATAAAGAAGCTGTGGGACATACATAGAGTGGAAGATTACTCAGCCATAAAAAGAATGAAATCTTACCATTTCAACAGCATGGGTGGACCTAGAGGGTATTATGCTAAGTGAAACAAGTCAGTCATAGAAAGACAAATACCATATGATTTCATTTACATGTAGAATCTAAAGAACAAGATAAATGAACAAACAAAATAGAAGCAGACTCACAGACACAGAGAGCAGGCTGATGGTTGCCAGAGGAGNGGGTTGGGTGGGGAATGTGGGGGGATTTAGAAATACAGATTGGTAGCTACAAATACTTCTTCATCTATGCACCAGACTCAGGAAACCTGTTTCTTCATCTATAAAAGAAAAGGGAGGTGTCCACTTTGAGGGGCTGCAGGTCTGTTAATTTGGGTAAACTGTTCGCTGAAGATGACCAAACAGCTGGATGTCTTACTTTTCACACTTAGTATCTACCATCTATTCTGAATTGCTTCTTTAGTGTGGTGTGAGGTAGGGGTCACGGTCAAACACAGAAAGGGAGCTGGCTTTATGTTGCCACCATGGACACGACCCGCAGAACTTAACTGCATGGCTTTTTGACTGCAAGTTCAGCCTTAAGGCCAAAGCACTCCTCTTTCCAGCGCTGGACTCGTGTTTTCTCTCCAGAAAGCACTGGCTTGCACCCCAAACACTGCACTCCAGTTACAGTGAATTACCGCACTACACCACCTCCCCCAACAAAGTCCAGGTCACTAGCAGACAAAACCAAGAAGCTCTGACCTGGCTGTTCGACAGTTCTGACCTGAGGAGGAAATGAAGGAGACCTCGCTGCCAGCTGGTCATCCCGGGCCTCACTTCTTCCGTGACAAACAAAGCCTCATTATGAGACAGGCCAGTGAGCCAGGACAGGTGGAACAGGGAAACTGAGGCAGAGAGCTGAATAAACTGCAGCAACTGACAGCAGATACAGGTCACCTCCCTAGAAATAACATGGAGGCCTCAGCTGTATTTCAGCTCCAGGCCAGAAAAGCAGCAGAGCCAGGTGGGCGACACCAGGACCAACTACAATGACTGATGCCCCTGTCCTGACACCGACCAGGGAGTGGAGACCACGACCCTGGAGGAGCACACCTAGGGAACTGATGAATACTCTGTTGAAGCCTTCCTGAGACCTCCCCTAAGATTCCTGCCTGCAAGAGAGAGATAAAGCCTCAAGACAAAGGACCCAGCTCGAGATCTCCCTCTGGGGAGCAGCCCCCCTTCCCTTTCCCTC